GTCAATAAAATTAGGAAAGTTATGCAAGGTTAAAATACTGACAAATTTTAATGCTAACACAGAATTCAAAATTTCTATTGATGTATTCTCTGGAATGATTCACTCAATTTTCGGGCAACCATTAATTAATGTTGATTGAATTACAATTAAATGTTATAATATTCACATTGCAGTTTCAATACTATAAAATATAAAATTAATAATAATAATTATTATTATAATATACGGATCCGGTGTTTACCGAAGTAGAATAATTAGTGACTATAACTAGCGTATAAAAAGAAGACCCGATGTATCTCTACACTAGAGTAGAGAGAACTCTACAGTATTGGATTCACTTCCTTAAAATGGACTGGCCTGAGTAGGTAGAACTATACGTAACATCGGTTGACGTAAGGCCCTGGGTTGAAAGATAGAATCTCCTGACTCGATAGTTTAGGGTAGAGAGCTATCACTTAGGCCAACGCGTTCGCAGAATTACTTAAATTTCAATATTAGCACAATATACTAAGTTTATAAAGAAAAAAAAAAAAAGAAGTTATATTATTGTATTATAAATATTGGCCATCACACGATTTTGACTAATTAAGAACTATAAAATCATTAAGGTAACTGTCCCTGTAGATTAATTATTTTTAGCTAACTACTGAACAGTTCATGCGGTGTAGTGAGCTCGCATAATAATATTTGATCACAATAGTGTATTAAATTAAATTAGGCGCATTATAAGATTCTGTTTTCCACGATGAATTACCATAAACATCGTCTAATTTATCTTAACTATATTACAAAATAAATATTATTTATTATACGTATTATGTAATGATTTAATTTAATGATATCAACAACAATTGATATTTTTAGGTTTGCTGGATAGTATTTGTAATGTATACCTAATACATTTTGAAGCTAAATGATATTACTTTGGAGAATAACTTATAAGTAGAGTCTATTATACCTTTTGATGGAATAGTTCATAAATGGGACTGGCATATTTCACAAGTAATTTTTTTAGTGTATAGTGTATAATAACATTGTAAATTAAAAATAATAAATCAATAATAATAATTAAAAATCGTTTAAAATCGTAAAATAATAAACAATTATTTGTAGAATATCATAAATTAAAAAAAAAAAAAATTATTATTTAATTAAAGTGTCTGATTGACATATTTAAACTTTTTATTTAATCGATATAAGGCAAGTTTTATTACATTAAACATTTTAAAATCATATCATTACTGATAATTTTATAACTAAGATATACCCGTAAATACGGTACGAAAGTTTTTTTAATAAAGTTATTCGTGGATAAGATTCTTTGCTTATTTGCTTGTCTATACTATAAAAATTATTTAAAATTATAAAATTTCTATAAAACGTGTATCCGATATTCTGAGATGGTATTATTCATTAAAAGTAAAAACAAAATATTATAATGAAATTCTTATATAACAAGTTAGTCTCCATAACATTATACGGCTCTTTATATTCAACTAAGTAAAATTACCTATTAATATCATAATAATTTTAATTTTATATTAACGTTTATAATTATATGTCATTGTTTGAATTACAGGACAAAATATCATAAAAATTAATTTGAGTAAACATGAATAGTATTATGCAACGTTGCATATTATACAGGTATAATTTACCTACATCTAAATATCTTTGTTGTTGGTCTACTTAAAATGCATTAATTTTGGTTTGCAAGTATAGGGTGTAATGCACGTAGTTATAAATCATTGTTTATGCGAGATTCGTGATCACACATGAGTAAAATACAATTTGATTTCCTGCAGTAGCACACTTCGGTATAGTTTGTTTTAGACACATGTACGTATACATGATTTTTAAGTGACTCTTCTCACTGACTGTGTTAAAGTCATTACCAAGAATATTCCTATTCGAAGAAATTGTTTGGGTGACGTTAGTAACTTTTAACGAGATGTTTAAGAAAAAATTTATTATTTATTTTTAAAATAGCGATTTTATATTACATATATGGGTGTTTGATGTAGGTAGCTACATATACGTATATAATATTATATAATAACGTTTTAAAGCGAAATTTAAAAAAACGAAAAAATCCAACTTGTGACGTAATTCACCGACACCTGTCAATCAACCATAGATTAGACCTGTATACAGTGACAAGCATTAATATGGTAACGACATTTCTATCATCTCTTATTTTTATAAATATTTTAATAAACGTTAATACGATATAAAAATAATAAGACTTGAATTATTTTATATTTTTGTTTTTATTATACTATATTAAATTATTTGAGTCTTTTTTTCTTAAAATTTTTTTTTACTTACGTGAACATTTAAAATTCTTATTTCACCCACCGAAAAATAAAAATATTACAATATTAAAATTTAATTATAAAACATAATAATTGTTATACATTTAAAAAAATATTTAACTGTGCTTAACAATACAATTTTAAACTATTAATGAACACAAAACTATGATATATTTCAAGGAAAATTTAGCTCTTGATAATTTTTTTAAATTTTTAAATTTTAAAATTCTTCATAATAGTACAGATAAAAATATAATATATTTTATTTAATTATAATTTAAAATTAATTAAAAAAATTGTATAAACAATTTTATTTATAAATTTCTGTATAATTTTTATAAGTAATATATTGAAACGTAGTCGTAATTTACTTACAGTTGAATAATATTTTGTTTATGTGTAATTCATTAATATAAAATATAAATAATTAAATTTCTATGTATAATATTATTATGATAAATTAACCAAAATTAACATATTTTGTAAATATTCTGTTCTAAATTATGTTTCTTATTAGCGCATATTCACTTTAATACCCATTTATCGTTGATAATTAAATTAAATTTGAGTAAATACCTAACAGTATTCGATAACAAAAGTTGTTATGAACATAAAAAAGTACATAAAATTCACTTATATAGCATGATATTTTATTAATATTTTATAATTTATTTGGTTAATAACCGTGTTTTCCATGACTTAACTCTCTATGTTAAAATGTTCTAATAAATATTAAGTTAAATATTTTTATGTTTTTAAATGTATTTTTCATATATTAAAACTCATAAAAACCATTAAATATTTTAAGGCCTCGTTAAAATGTTGATACTTATCGTTTAAAATGCAATGAAATATCAAATATGCGCAAACAAATTTAGTTTTAACTCGCAAATCATAGTAATTTAAAACATAATTTCATGTAATTTCACAGAATCATAAGGTAATAATATAATTTAGTTATGCTGGCGTTTTGTATAGGCAAAATAACTACATGTATAATACTTTTGTATTAATATTATTGATTAATATTTTATACAAAAACATTAAATTTTACATTATAACTAATGTATAGCATTTAAATATATAAATTGGTACCAGGTAAAGACATTTAAAGTGTTTATAATGTTGAGAAAACACGATTTTTATTGTATGAAAGCAAATAATAAACGTTTGGCATTTTCATAATACTTTGTGATATAAAAATATTTTTAAATGATATTTTGATTTAAAAAAAAAAAAAAAATTATATTTACATATATTAAATATTTATAAAATATACTATCATTAAAATACTTTTCATGATAATATAAATGTCAAGAAGATTTTTTTTCAACTGCTATACCATATCGATTTTTTTTTTTGTGTAAAATGTTTATTTTCTTTCCCGATAAAAATGTACATGATGTGATACATATATATTTATATATGTACAATTTTAGTCATAAAATGGTAAAAATATTGTAGTATAATTGATTGTAAGTTGTAGACAATCTTTTTAGATCTTTTATTTTGTAAAATAATCGATGGGAAAAAATGAATATCTTATGCACAAAAATTAGACAATCAATTTTTTAAATCCACATTTTTTTAAAATATAAATAAATAATATAAGATTTTGATTTTTTAATGATTATAAATCATTGAATTATTTTAGAATTTAAAATTTTTTTTTTATTTTTTTTATGTTGAAGTAATATTCGAGTTATGAATACATTTATATAACATATCTAGGTCTGTGTAAAAGAAAAATGATTACCATTTACATAAAACAATATTAAAAAAATGGATTGAATTTACATAAAAAATAATTGTTCCTGACTGTTTACTAGTCATATTTTAATGGAAATGAAGTGAAAATTTATTACATCGTATTTTTTTTTTTTTTTTTTTGATTTAAACGATGGTTAGAATAAAAATCTTTATGCCTGATGTGCACGCCAAAGATATTTTTTTAAATAAATTATGATCGAGTATATTAAAAATTTCATATTTCGGCATGCTTAATTCAAAATATTATCAATAGAATGTAGAGTGAATGAAACCAGAAATGAGGTAATTCATATGATTAATATTTTGTTAATCGATTGTTTATTATTCAATTGTGTTTATTGTATTAATAATACAATGATGTAATTGTACAAATTTAAAATGCCACAATAAAAAAAGAAAATGTGTGTGATAAAAATGTTGATTTTTATTTTTTCTCAGAAAACTGGTTAAAAAATAATCGTGAAATGACAAACACCGAAATGAAAACTGAGATCGTGTGACAGTAGACAGATATATCTTTTCTTCTCAAGTGAACCACACTAAGCATAAAATTCTCTACGGTATTTTGTGTGTGTGTGTACACGAAAAATAATTTGATCACGTTTCTTAGGTTACATGTATGATCACAAAACGTAATAAGAAGTTCTGTGCTGAAAAATTCATAAAAATGAAATTACATTGCGTTCACTTCGATGTGTTTCATGCGATCTGTTTTACATGGACGAAATTTTTATTCAAAATACTCGATGTTAAATTTTTGATTTATACGTATATTATAATGTATAATATGGGAGAGCTAGTATGAATCGTCTACAATGTAATCCCATTCCTCTCAATGTTAGTCCAGTGTCTTAGTGGTTTGTGACTCGGCAAACGCACTTGAAACAATACTACGAAAAGATAATTGGTACTTACCAATAACTGTTAGGTTTAGTCGAGAATTCCTAGTTGGTGATTTCCGAAAGTCTACTCGACATCTGTAGATGCCAGCGTCCATTTCCGATACGTTATCGATGGTTAACATAGCTGGTTCAGATAGCATGCGGAAGTGTGACCTGCCCTCCAACGACTCATCCTTCCAATGTGACTTATTCGGATCAGTAAACTTGTCTCGGATATCCACGCTGTGAAATTAATAAACACAATTAATCAGTTAAGCTAAACATATTAGTATAATCATATAATTATAATGCTATGTTAACAGAGTGCAGGTACTTAAATTTTTATTTATAACAATATACAAAATACGTAATAACACGCAATTATTAAGCTATACACATAATAGAATTGTAATACTTATAATAAAACTATACTTAAAGAAATTTGGTAACATTGCTTAATTTTATTTATGCATTTTAAACGCTGCGAGAAAAAATAAATAAAAAATATGTTTGTCGATTAAACTAAATAACACAAAAAATATAATGGTTATATTCCAAAACTAATACCTATGAAATATCAAATTCGTTGAGAGAAAAATTGTAGTTTTGAAAAAAAATAAATATTAAAAAGTTTTGAAAATACGAATTCATACAAATTTTAATAACTTGTATTTATTTAGAAAATTATTATTCACTACCAAAAACAATATGCATTTGTAATGTACAATTTGAGTATTTTTTAATATTAAAAATGCATAAATTTAAAGTACATAATGTATATTTATGTAATAACTTTGGTAAATAGTATTTGATAATAAATTTTTTATATGCATTTCCGAACAAAAATATTAATCCATATCAATTTATATAATGTGTATTACAATTTTAATTAAATCTTCGCACAACATTTTGGTTTATTGGATTATGGGATCCTATTTTACTCTATATAACTTAATAATGGATTTGTTATAAATAATAAAAATAATAATAATTAAAAATACACGCATAAACAGTTTATTTACTAGATAGACAATGGTGTATTGAAAATAATTTTAATTAGTTTATACAAATTAAAACGTGAAAGGGAAAATATATTTTCTTTATAGCTAAAAAGAGCATAAATCACAAAGTTGGTTAATACAATATTTTATTTATGTCAATTATAATATAATATATAATTATTGATTTTGTGGCTGATTTAAAATATTCTAACATAGTTTATAATTGAAGGGCCCGATACAACAACCAGATAACTCCATAATGAAAAACTTTTCAAAATGAAGATAAAACGCTTTTCTTAATTTTGCTATGAACATAAAATGTCTACATCTAAAATATCTACATAATTAAGTTAAGGACATAACAATGAATAATTATTCCTAAATATTTAAATCATAAATTTTATTTTTGTATTCGCAAATACTTATTAAAATTAAAAATAACATGGATTATCCGATTCTTTATCAAAATAATTTTTTCAAAACTTAAAAATATATGTATTTTTTATGTAAAACAGTATATTTATTAACATATTTTTACAAACATTTCTTTAATTATATATGAAGATTTAAGTTTTTTTTTTTTATAAAAACAACATATATGGGCAAGCTTGGAAAAAAATAATAAATATATTTTTCTTTAAATTTATGTTTTTTTTCTTATTGGTAAAAAGAGAAAAAATATCTTTGTATTCTTGAAACACACATTTTTGTTATTATTTTTATAATTCAATAATATTTAAGTGTTATAGATACCCATTAAGATAATATTTACTTAAAAATAAATAATAATTAACCAAAAATGTATCTGGAATATACACATAATCTTGGTGTTACACATAAATATTAAAAATAAATACAGTATAAATGAAAATAATTTCATAATTTCTAAAAAAAATAAAACATATCTATCTTTTATTATCACAAAAATATATAAAAATATAATTAATTATAATTATTGAAAATCTACATTATAATAATGATGTTTTATTATCATACAATCATAAAAATAAATAATAATCGTCTAACTTGGTAAAAAGAGAAATTGTATTTTTCATTCCTTAAATACACATTTTTTATAGTTCGTTATTAGAAGTTAAAAATGTTGTATAGTTGTATCAAATTCTTCAAGTCCCTGGTAAAAGTATAGATATTTGGGTGGAACATAATTTAACACTAGATTTTGTCATCTGTTAATTTTATAACATATCCCATGATTAAACATTTTTGTTTATAAACGTGAATTAAACATTTTTTTTGAAAAATTATTTCAGATATTCTAAAAATGCGTATATAATATTTTGTGGTGTATTTATAACATAGAATTTTATAGAACAAACTTTTTCATAATTTCTTGATACTATTTTGACAAAAATACTCATTCAAGTTTCCTTCTTCTCTGCTCCATTTAACCAAAACAGCAGTCACAAGCAAAAACATTGTGTTCCAGTTCAGAGAATTTTTGAAAAATAGCTTTTAAACCAAACATGTGTTTTTGAACGTCATTATTATTTCGAGAGCTACGATTATCAGAAAAAAGATACAACGTTTTCACTTCTAATTAAACTTCTAATTAATTTTTTTGTGTAGGCATAACACAACGATAATACAATAAAATAATTTGTAATTAAAAAATTAATATTAACATCAGTGATAAAGATCTCATCAAATCAAACAGTACGTATTTTAATGTGACTAACTGGGCACAACAACCAAATAACTTCAGATTTATCCGTTTGTGGTACCGAAACACAAAAACAGATAGATCAATATCAAGGTATACTTCGTATAAAATAATGGAAGATAAACTGTTGTTGCATATAATGACAAAGAATTTTTTTGTTATTTTTTCCATAGTTACACATTTTCCCGAAAAAAACTTTCCTATTACTAGATTTTTAAATGTTTTTTCGAACTTTAAACTCATTAAAATGTTTTTAAATATAACTTAATGATATTTATTTAATTATGGTATAATATTATTTTCGTAGTTAAAAATAGTTTTTTTAAATATTTTACATTTTGTACGAGCTTTTGGTTGGAGCTTGAAGAACAAGAGCGATAATGTTTATAAGTCATTTCCGCATAGAATATTTTTCAGATAACAACTTGTTTCTGCACAACTTATACATACACATTTTTACTATTAACAAAATGCTTATGGAAAACTTTAACTTAGTTTGTTGTTTTTGGTTGTTCATCTCATCATTTGGTATTCATACTCACAGAATGAAATTGGTTGAAGTTTGAATTAAGTAAAATATATAATGCAAAAACAAAACCAAATACGTAAATACAACCCATGGGGAGTAGTAGCTTTTTAATTTGTATATACAATCTCGAATTCTTCTGGAAAAAAAAAAATAAAATAGTTTACCCATTTACGTACCTCACTGCTGTTATTCTTATGTTAGGTACCGAAATATTGAAACGATAGTTTAAATTTAAAAAACATCAAGATCTGACCAAATTGAACGTACTAAATACAATTTTATAACGAAGAAAACTATTTTAAATTGAATTATGAGTCTGATTTTTCAAAGTTATCAAGAAATTATTTAATAACTACCTAGTTACTTTTAACGTTACCATATATAGCTTTATATTCGTGAAAGTACATTTATTTTCTTAAAAACAAAATACTATTGCTATGTAAATATAATTTTTACAAACATAATTATATACAGCTGTAAAATAAATGTATGTAAAATAAAAATAATATTATGTGTGTATAAATGCATAGTTCATAGTATAATATTGCGCAAATAAGTGGTTCTATGATAATTTTTATAGCCAAAACTAGTGTTTTACATAGGATTTGAGCCATGTAATTTTACACTAGGGTAAAAACACTGATCCACCGACGTCTTATTAATTTCTATTTAACCTCTATGCATTCCTGTTTGGGTCGATTTGCACGATGTATGGCTAATGATAAAATACTACCATGTCAAGCTATGAAGAAAATATGACAAAATATCTACGTTATTTATAATTAAATTTATTATTGTTGAATTAAGTAGATTTAAACATAATATTTTCTACTTGATACTTTTTTTAAAGTATAAAAATAATTAAAAAATAATGAACCCAGCAAATTGGAAAGCAGTTTTGAAATTCCCGAGGCGCGGTAAATTTATTACATAATATGAAAATATGCACTTTAAAAATGTTAAATTTAATTTAACACAATTTCATAACAAAAAACTTTCAGACAAGTCGTTATTGTTCAAAATTACATAAATGTAAGTAAATTTACAATTCACATTATGATTAAAGTGATTCGGAAAAGTGTGCATTTTTATAAAATTGTTTATGTATTTTTATAGAAAGATAGGAGGTACCTACCAAAAAGTGTTTTTAATTGAAAAAAGAAATATTAGACAATCCAATGATTAAATATAATATAAAAAGTAAATTCAAACAAAATTAATGATATAAAATATTATATGGATGGAAAACAATTATTAAGTTAAGTTTAGGGTTATTGAACATGATTTAACAATTTACTTATGAAGTTTTGTTGGACACAATAATTATATTCGTAATATTAGCTCTAAACATCTTTTAAAATTCCAACCTAAACCGTATATGGACCAAATACTATGTATACATTTATATATTTAAATGTTTAATTCATATTTCAGTTAAAAAAAAAAAAAACAAATTTTAATTAACTGAATAACAAATACTTAAAAAATAAATAAGTGATGCAGCTGATTGTAAATTTTATTTTGCATATGACGAAATACTTTTATAATATCAATTCTTTGAATTATTTTACGGGCGTTAGACATCTATATTTATACCTTAATTTCAAAAATGTTTTATATTTAAAAAAAAATCACTGTTGAAAAGCCAAACATTTTTGAACTCTAAATTAATTTTAGATAACTTCTTCTTAAAATATGTTAAAAAGTTAAGTTATAGAAAAAAATTAAATTATAATAATATAATGGACGAAAATATCATAACGTACGGCATTTGATAACCATCCGTCTGTCTGCCTGTCAACTTTGATAAGTAAAAAAAAAAAAAAAAAACAATAAGTAAATATTAAAGTGGTACCTATGTCACTCGGTCTAAATTAGAAATATATGCTTAAAAATTGTCACACAGTGGTCAGAAATTTCCTAGAAAAACAAAGTATTACGCGGCTGACTTGCGCTTTAGTTCTCAGTATTTGTAGCGAACTTTTAAAAGTACGGGAAATCACGGGAGTTCTTTGCCGTTTAAAGCCGCGCC